GGGAGGCAGTCGATCAATGACTCTCAGCATTGATGTTTCTATCTCTCTCCCTCTCCCTTACTCCCTCTGAAATCCATAAAGATGTATTTTAAAAAAAGGAAAAAAAAAAGAATACACTTGGCATAAAGCAGAAACAGGCACCTCGGCTAGTCTGAGCGCCCTGCCTATTGGGGTTCTAAATCTTACTGTTGCAAACTTTAAGGTTTCCCTCCCTTGGTATGGGGTTAGCATACGGGGCTTCAAGCTCCCCACTCCCTGTCACTGCAATTTAACGTTTTAGCAGGTCTCAGGCTTGCTTGGGTATTACAACAAGCCCCCTCTCCGGCCTTAGTATCTGTCTATCCTGCCTAACAGCATGTGTCGGAATTGCCTTCCTTTTCAAGACTGAGTAATATTCCATTGTGCAGCTGCTACATTTTGTTTATCCACTCATCTGTTGATGGACATTTGGAAACTCATTGCATTTGAACATAAATAACATTTAGAAATGTTATATTTTCCAAAATGAAAAAATCATGAGGAAAGTGGCATCCTGGCCCTGGCTGGGTAGCTGGTTGGTTAGAGCGATGTCCCAATGCACCAAAGCTGTGGGTTTGATCCCCAGTCAGGGCACATACAAGAATCAACCGATGAATGTGTGAATAAGTGGAACAGCACATCATTGTTTCTCTCTCTCTCAAATCAATAAAATTTCCTGTAAAAAGTGGTATTATTTTACATTTTTGAGAATACTTAACATCTACTCAATAGAAGACAACTGGCTTCTCAGAGCTGCTCTGTGTTTGCTCTGCTGCAATAGCACAAACTATTTGGCCTCCGAAAAAACCTGGGGAAGTCCAGCCAAGCCGTGGGAAGTCCTGGCCATGGACTTTCCAAGCCCGTTAATCCCCCAACCACGTCACCCTGAAACTTGTATAGTTGCAAAACTGTCTTTCGCATTCCAGGTTATCTGCATTGAACACCTGCTTGTGTGTACAGTTTCTTACTATCTGCCAGCACCACCTTGCTGTGTGATCCCTGGATCATAAATAAAATGAAAACAATCTGGCGGTCGTACACTCGCATTGGAACTGTGCGATGATGATGGTCTGAGGCTATACCACTAGTAATGGATCAGTTAACCATCCTTGGGTGACAACCAACCAAAACCTGTTTGGTGTGTGCCTATGGAGGCGTATTTAGCACATGCACCTGGGGTTTGTTGGAGGGTCGGCTGATTGTGGCTGGGTGGCTCTGCTGATCTCGGCTGGGCTCCCCATGGGTCTGAGGTCATCAGAGGCCCGACTGGGGCTGGCCATGAGTGGGGGGCCCACTGATCTTGACTGGGCTCCCTCCAGTGTTGGTGGGTGGACTTGACAGGTGCATCCAACACCCGGGCGCCAGTGGGCTACCCCAGGAATATTCTCCTCATGGTGATGGCAGGGCTGTGAGCCCAAACGCACAGGTATGTGTCCCGTGGCTGTCTGTGTTCTAGGTGCCGTGAGCCTCTGGGCCGACCAAGTCACATGGCTCAGCCCAGGAGAAAGGGTCAGAAGTACACGCCTTCCGAGGAGGTGGGGTGGACGGGGCATGGAGCGAAGGCTTTTTGTTGTCGTTCATCCTCGCCTGAGGATATTTTTTCCATTGATTTTTAGAGAGAGTGGACGGGAGGAAGGGAGGAGGGGGGGCGAAAGAGAGAGGGAAGGAGAGAGAGAGAAACATCGATGTGAGAGAGACGCATTGATCGGTTGCCTTCCACATGCACCCCGACTGGAGCTGGGGATCGGACCTGCAACCCAGGTACATGCCCTGGCCCGGGAATTGAACCCTCGGCCTCCCGGTGCATGGGCGGACGCTCCAGCCACCGAGCCACGCCAGCCAGGGCTGGAGGGAAGACTTTAGAAATATTTTCAATCTACTTTTGAAGAGTAACCTAACCTGCCACAGGTGGGCGAGAAGATGGGCGAACCTGGGTGTTGTGCTCAAAGCTGAAACTGAGACTCAACCATGAGCACTGGAGAAGGGGTGATATGGGGGCATTAATAGTAACACTGGGCCTCAGGGGGGTAAGGAGCAATTTGCAGAGCAATAGGTGTGTGTCGGGGTGGGCAGGAGGCTGGGAAGATGAAACCCAGGCAGCCTGATCCAGGCCGCGCCCATTCCACCCTCATTTTGCTTCTCTGTCCCTCCTCTCCCTCTCAAACCAGTACACCTCCCCTCTGGTGAGAATAAAACAACCTGTTTTTACCTTAAAAAGGTAAAAAGAAACAGATGAAACAATAACAGTAACATATTTAATAATATTGTTATATATTAGATTAATACAAACAATATTGATGATATGTTAATATATTATAGTGACAGTAAAGATTTTAATCTTATATATTTATATTATATTGTTACATACAATGATCTTTAATAGGTACCAATAATAATATAATTAATAATACGGTTTGCTTAACCCAGTTTATCCAAAATATTATTTTAACATGAAATACAATATCAAAATTACTGATATATTTTACAACCCTTTTTATTTTTTGCTGTAAGTCTTTGAAGTCGATGTGTGTGTTCTACTCATTGCAGATTACAGCTTGGACTCGCCACGTTTCATCTCCTCAGAGCCACGTGTGGCTGGTGGCTGGTGGCTGCCACATTGGGCAGCGAGGGCCTGGGTCTTGAGGAAGAGCCTGAAGAACAGCATAAAGATTACAGTTCCGTTTCGAGAGCGTTACCTGCCACAAGCACTTGAACACGGGGACTGGGCCAAATGTGCGAACAGAAATATGGGAAACCACCTCAATTCCACCCGCAGGCGGAGAGTAAGTAAATAGGCTTCCCGTGAATGTTGGCCTGAGCATGCTGTAGCACGGAACAGCGTGTTTCTAAAGGTGTTTGCAAAAACGTTACTCTGAAGAAAAAAAAAGTGCTGGGATCACACCACTGGGACAACGGGTGAAGCCTGAGCCGATGGCCGATCCCAGGCAGCCGCCTTGGCGTCAGTTTCCTGATTTCAAAATCGCCGCGCGGTGATGACAGAGGCTGGCCTGTCCTTAAGACACACTGAAGAATTTAGGGCAAAGAGGGATGTTTGCTGTGCCCCCTCAGGTGATTCAGAGGAAAACGCCAACAGGCCTATAGGTATAGAGCCCCTGGCTTCGTTTCCTAGGGGCTACCAGCCCCCACAATTTCGTGAGCGAATTCCTTACAACAACTCAAATCTCTCTCTCTCTCCCCTTCTCCTCCCGACCCCCATTAGTGACGCTCCTCTGGCGAACCCCGACGGACACCCCCTTCGTCCCCTCCCCACAAGTATGCCGTGGGGACACCCTAAAGCCCAGGGCCACAGGCAACAGGAGGGGCTCTAGGTGAAAGGTGTGCGGGAGTCGCTTTGACTCCACTTCCACTTCCCTTTAAGTCTGAAATTACATCAAAACAAAAAATTTGCCAAACAATTATTCTGTGAAGGGTTCTTAACTTCACCGAGGGTCCAGGGCAGAGAAAATGTTAAGAAACCGTGACTTAAGGCAATAGGCCACTTTGATCCCAAACCCGAAAATATCCAGGGGCCTGGCCTCCTGAGCCTCCTTCTACTCAAGCGCCCCCTGGAGGGCAGGGCCCGTGTAGCAACACTGCGTCCCCCGCACCAAATCCCTGCAAAGCCGCTTGCAAAATCCTCGCCGAGCCCTGCAGGCCACACACGCGGCTTCCTTTAGGGGAACTGAACCTTGCTGGACGTCCCGCGCCCGCATGTCCCTTTCCAAACACAAACACTGCGTTTGAAAAAGTCTGGGTGGATACACTCCAAACTGCTAATAGGAAGAGTTTCAGGAGGTTTTGTTTTTGTTTTTGTTTTGGTGGGGAGATTGCATTTCTGGATTGTTGAAATGTTTGCAAGGTGCATGGGTTAAGCGTGCAATGGGAAGAAAGCTGTATCTTTGCAAGCTGGAGGCTGCGGCAGAAAAATACTATTTGTGGAGGAAAGATGGGGGTGACCGGTTTGAGTTGCAGAAGGATGTGGGAAAGATGAGCGGGCGCCTGTCCTCATCGTGACCGTGCTCACGTGGTGGGCTGAAGAGACTTTCTCACTGGTGTCCACATCCTGCTTTCTGGAGCCTGTGGTGCGAACAAAGGGACTTTGCAGATAAGTTAAGGATCTTGAGATGGGAGATGACCCTGGATTATCCAGGGGGACCGTAAATGTAATTACAAACTTTCTTATATGGGGGGGGGCAGAGGGAGATTTGAGACACACAGAGGCAGAGATTGGAGGGACAGCCACCAGCCATGGAGCTGACAGTCCCCAGAAGCTGGAAGAGGCAGGAACAGACTCTGGAGCCTGCAGAGGGAGTGTGGTCCTGCTGACCGCTTGATTTGGGGCTGCTGTCTCCAGACTGTGAGTGGATACGTTTCTGTTATTTTAAGCCACTCTGTTCGTGGCAGTTTGTGCCAAAAGCAACAGGACACTATTTTAGGTTCCTTCTTCAACCCAGGCTCCCGCACGTTTCCATGAGAACCCAGAATGAGGCTGGAAAACATGGTTATGGTTTGGGGAGAACAGTGCCAACTTCAAAGCCCCAGGGAGGAAGATCCAATGGTCCCCAAGCACTGGGCCACCTCCACACACCTGCTTTGCCTCTTTGGGCCTCCAAGCAACCTGGTTGGAAGGCTGGGTCTCACCATTCCCACTTCCCAGGACCCCAGGGGAGTTGAAGCCAGTTGGACCCCTGAGTTTTTCTGTTCAGGGGCCTTAGAAGGAGAGAGAGAGATGGTCTCAAATGGGGAAACCAAGGCCCAGAGAGGGGCCAAACGTAGATTGGGGCAGGCATCTCTTTCACCTGGCTCCCTCCCTCCTGGGATGGGAGGGAACTTCCTCAGCATTCAGAGCCCTGACCTCCCTCCTCTGAGGCCCCTCGTGGCCCCATAGAAGGTGCCCCAGCCAGAGTGCCCAGTGTGCAGACCAATGAGGACCTTGGGGCACCAAGACTGGTCATTTCCTCCCTGGCTATCTGCACCCTCCCTTTGCGGGCTTTAAAAACCACAGCCCTCAGGCAGGAGGACCTCTGATCAGCGGAGAACTCCGGGGGACCAAAGATGGTGAGTTTAGGAGGGGGGTGGGGACCGGAGCCTCTGCTCTCTCCCTTCTGGCGCCCCCCCCCCAGCTCTCTCCTGTCTTCTATCTCCCCCCTTCGACCTCAGTTCTGACTCTCCCACTCCTGGGCTGGGATGAGATTAAGGAGTAAGATTGTCAAGGGCTTTTCAGAGAGCCACCTCGAGGCCACAGGGCTGGGACCCAAACGTTCCCCAGGGTGGGAAATGACTTTCTTCCTCAAGTGGAAGATCCAGGAAAGGCCCCTGGGCAGCGGGAATGGCAGGGGTGAAGGTAGGGAGGCTGGGAAGAGCCAGTTTGGAAGAATTTGGTTAAGTGACTGATGTGGACATTCAGGTGTTCTGAATTGTAGAGACAGGGAAACTGAGGCAGGAGCCGAGATGGCCCTGTTGCTGAATTGAAGGGGGTAGTTCTGTGGATTAGATGAGATAATACATGGCAAGGGCTCAGAGCAGAGCCTGGTGATTACGAAGCCTATTCTCGTAGGTAGTCCCGAGTCTCCGCCTTCACCCAGGCCTCCAATGCATTCGTGTCCCTCACTGCCGCCACCCTGGTGCAGGCCACCACGTCCCTCACCTCGCTGGACAGTTCCAATCTCCTCTTGCCCCCAGCTTCTGTTTTGGGGCCCTTTCTCCACACAATAGACAAGGGCTTTTAACAAGGGCTCTTAACACTTAACAAGGGCTCTTAACAAGGACCAATAATAGTACCTTGCCCTTCTGGTCGCTGCGACCTAAATACTGTAATTAGCTAACGAAAGAACTAGCCCCGGAAGGTGCTCGGCACTTAGGATGCCCTAGTAGCCCCAGACCCGACCTGATCCATGCAGCAGCCACAAGCACGTGGGCTTCTGAAATTTAATTAAAATGACAACATTACAAGTTCGGTGCTTCAGATACCTCAGCCCGCATTTCACACGCTCCACAGGGACATACCATCTTGGCCAGCGCCCGTCCAGAGCATTTCTACCTGCGCATTAAGCTCTATGGACGGTGCGGCCGTTTTCTCTCTCCAGGGCCCGCGTGTCTGTGGAACACTCCAGGTTCCCACCCCCGGGGCCGCATTTCTTTCTCCCTCCTTGCAGACCGTAACCTCTTGCCAGGTATGTCAGGAAGCGGTCCCCCAGCCAGTTAATATTTGTGCGATGAAGAAATAGCCCTAGAATCTTTCGAAACACTGCAGTGCTGGCCTTGCATAGATTCCCTTTGTGGCTCCTGCGTGGGGCCCACGCTCTGCAGCGGGCGGCGCGCCGTGCGGGCCACGGGCCAGAGCCGAGCCCCGTGGGGACAGGGGGCCGGTGGGCCCCGCCTGTCCTTGGCGGCTTGCAGGCTGGCCGCTGCTCTTGGCCTTCGCTCGCCCATGGTGACCTCGGAGCTCTTTCCCCACCAGGCCTCACTTCCCCACGCCTGCTGGGAGCCGCACAGCATCCCGCTGCGCTGCCCGGGTGGCCCGTCGCTGACCCGGCCGGTCCCCTGCTGCTGGACGCTTCGGTTGTGGCCGATCTCCAGCGCTGCTGCAAAGGCCAAACTTTGAGAGCCGTTTGCAAGGTCCCAGGTGGAAGGAGACCGCAGAGCGTTTGAATGGGCGTCTTTCCTCGGCATTGGGGGAGGAAGGAGCCCAGGGAGCTTTGTCAGCTGATGGGAGGAAGGATGAGGTGCGTGGGCCTGTGGTGAGGCTCCCTTTTCGGGGTCTGACTCATTCTGAAGCCAAGAATGGCAGATAGAACATTCCAGCAGCAGAAACGTTAGCCTTAGGGGGGAATGCAGAATATTTAACAACCTGCAGAGCCCCCCCTCCCCCCACCCAAGCAGGGCCTGGGGCCTCCTGCTGTGCCTCCCTCCTTTCTCCCTCCCTCCCTCCCTCCCTCTAGCTTTTTCTTTGGCTGGAGGGTTTTAAAGCAAACCCA